TACGTTCGGAATAATTTTGGTAATTAAGTATTATGCTTAAATATTTATTAAGCATAATTAAGTAATTTATTAAGTACTAATCACGTGATAATGTGGATTAGTCATGGGAAGTTTCCAAAATTCATGCAAAAAGCCGTAAAGCACAATATGGTTCCAAAATTGTTATGCATTTTCTTAAGTATTAAGGAACCAAATTTTCTTTCTTTCCTAAGCATGGGTACGTGGCAATTTGGGAAGGATTATGTGGTGATTAAGCACCAAGAGTGCCTTTTTAGATGGCAAATGGCAAGAGCCTAAATAGGCCACGCCCCACCTTCATCACCAAGCATCATACGGGCCTAAGTATAAGAAGAAGGAGTTGTCCAAATTTTGCTCATCTTTTTCCTATCATATACATCAGCCTAAATATATATTTAGTCCTTAAAGATCAGCAAGCTTTGAGGAGGCCACGCTCACACCTCAAGTTTTCTTAGTATACGCACGGCAAGTAACAAAGGAGGCACGGCACGCATCGCACACGGCGCACACATACGCAAGGTCACGATCGATTTCGAATTCCGTCGAACACTCAAGGAGGTATAGCTATTCTCAGCCTATTTTCATGTTAACGAGTTCACTTTAAGCTGAAGTGTTCGACTCAGGTTCAAGAGGTTGTAGCTATGCCGTGTTAAAGTTCAAATATGTCTAAGTTGAATAGTGATCGAGTAAATTCTTGTTTTACCCGGCAACTCACGAACCATTCATATTTAAATGATCAGTTTACCTCATTTTATGTTCAGTCACTCGATGATGGTCGAGGAAAAATGTTGTTTTATGTGTTAAATGGCCCAAAGCCGTCGCTAGCGCTCATCGCGCGTGGCCACGGGCGGCACCAAGTCACGTCTTGTTACTTTCAGTGATGGTCACGTTCTCTCATGTGATTGTGTCTTAATAGCCTTTAAATAATGCCTCATGTTTATTTGGTCGGGAGTTGCCGAGGGAAAAGGTGTTTTGGTCGAGAGACGGCCTATCGCCGTCGGCGGCGCACGGCGCGCTCGCCTCGGTCCCATTCAGTTAATCTGCGAAAAGTGCTATTTTCAAGTTATTTCCATAACCAAGTTCATAGTAAGTCATGT